TTCTCAGTTTTTGATTTTAGCCTATTTTTCCTCACCGTTTCCAGAATAAAATTTCCTAGACTTTACAGTTTGATCTAAAAATTTCCCAAGTTATTCGTTTAGGTTTGATCTACAACCTGAACTAAAATGAAAGTTTTTTACTTTGTATTTTTTGAATTTTTGGTCTTAGAACTAACGTAACTATAGTAAATTTTTGATATAAATGATTTTTTATCTATAAAATTTAAACTACTCAATAAATTTTATTGATTTTAGTTCAAATTGTTCTTCATAGTAAAACAAAACTTTTTGTAAAATTTTATTCAATGAGTAAATATGGTTTAAAAGTTATTAAGGAAACAGTAATTGGGGTATTTCGGGTCCCAACATGGTTTATTAAGCCCGTAAATTTTTTTTTTTTAATTTTTTTAGTTTTTTTTTCTTTTTTTATATCTGGGCATCCTATTAAATGCAGTAATAAGTGTTTTAAGGTCAAACGTTAGTGACACAAGTTTGATGGTATAGGACCACCTTAAGGCATTCATAAAACGATTACTTTACCTAGATTAGGGTGGAGTCGTAAAAAAAAAATACCGACTCCGATTCCAATCGCTGAAATTTTCAAAGTACGACTCCGACTCCAATGCAAAATTTTGGAAGAATTATATTAAAGGGCGGGTTTTGTCACTCGCCAAGGAGGAGGCTAAAATATTTAGTGCTTTGGCCGAGCGTCTAGCCGAATATTGATATTCGGTAAAACCAATTTCTGTGACATGGTCATATCAATAGTACGTGCTATTGTTTTAAAACGAACAAACGAAGATAAAAATTTGAAAAGTTGAATCGAATGACTAGATAAAAGGATTATAAAATTTTCACTTAACTAAATCGACTTTTTTTAGTCAATTAGTAGAAAGTCTATAGTCAATTAAATCGACTATTCGTTTTTTTTTAGTTGACTAATTTCGACTTTCGACTAGTCAACTTTTAGTCGATTTAGTCGAAGTCGATAACAACACTAAAAATTACGCTTTTTTACATTATTAGAATGTCATTACTATAACAATCGTAGCCGTCATAGAAAATTCAGATTTTAAAAAGTACCCAGTGGCACGCGTTATCCTTGGAACCGGTGTCAAACCTCTTATGGACTTCTTTAGGGCAACGCATGCCGACAGGGTATTTGAGTAAATTAATTATAAGCGTGAATAATTCTTAACAATAGCGCAGTTTTAAAACAAGTTAAAACAGGTTTACATCAAGTTGCTTTTTTATTTAAACAAAATCTCAAATTTCAATTATAAACTGAAGATTTTTTTCCAAAATGTAAAAACGCCTAGCAAATCTATTTCAAAGAGAAATCTTAAAATGTTTACCAAACGAAATTTTATCTTTGCGTATGATAGAACCGTCTTATTAATCGCTGTCAAATCTGCTCAACTTACCCCTACTAGACAAGGTGACGCATCAGTTAAGTTATAAAAACAACTATAAGGCTTGGGGAAAAAAGGATAAGTATAATCAACAGTCAAATAAATGGGTAAAATATAAACACTTAAGTGATTCCAGATAAATGCTTTTTTAAGCATCTAAGAGAAAAATAGCAAAAATATTTTTTTTACTTTTTTGGTTTTTTTGGTCCAAAATCGAAAAAGTGTCCGTGCATGTTACTGAACCGCGGTCCAACAACCATTTGATGCGCATTTTGTTACCATTCTAAATACCTATCTTTTATCCATTAGATGTTTTGCCATATGATGAGTACTTTTTGAGACATTTCAATTGCCCAACTTGCCTCTATGCTCAACTAGCCCCGCTCAAACCCTACGAAACAAAATTTTCAAAAGTTCTTTCAAATAAAAAGTTATTTCTTTCAAATAAAAAGTTATTTCTTTCAAATAAAAAGTTATTTCTTTCAAATAAAAAGTTATTTCTTTCAAATAAAAAGTTATTTCTTTCAAATAAAAAGTTATTTCTTTCAAATAAAAAGTTATTTCTTTCAAATAAAAAGTTATTTCTTTCAAATAAAAAGAGATCTTTAAACCCACTTCTTTCAAATAAAGAGAGATCTTTAAACACAGTTTCTTCCAAATAAAAAAAGAAATCTTTAAACCCAGTTACAAAATAAAAGCAGTTATACAAAAATGTTCCAATATCAATATTCTTTAAAAATGTTCCAATATTTTAATACGTTGTGTCTAGCACAACGGTACCGTTGTTTTAATTTTTTATCTTTAAGTCACGGTAGTAAAGTTTGATTGGTTTATATTAAGTCACGGCTGCGAATATGATTGATTGATTTTGAATGTTTTATTTGTACAAATTTAAAAAGAATTCCAATTATATCTTGTGCGTTTAGCATTGTGGTATCTCAATTGTTTATTACTCACGGCCCGGTAGGAAACCAGCCAGCGAATAATTAGCTATATTTGTAACGATAAAGACTGCAATTTGGTCGCGAGGATCGCTAGCTTTTTAAGATAGCGAAAAGCTATCGATATTTGTAAAGATAAAGACAGCGATTTGGCTATGAGGACAGCCAGCTTAATAAGATAAAGACCTACTGGCTATTGTAGCTAGCATCATATCGTAATAAAATCGTTGTCTAAAAAATTTTAATATATAGCTATCAACCAGCTATAGATTTGTAGATATTTTGTAACTAGCTACAAAGCTACGATATCTAGCTAGCGACACATTGCTACAAAATCGGAATGTTTAAAGTTCAATTATCCTCATAATTACAATAGACTTAACACTAAAAATCGAATTTTTAAAGATTTAAAGATATTAGGAAAAAATAAAACAGGAAAAATCTCTTTAAAATCACTATAAAGCTAGCTAATTGCTAGCTCATTTCCCACCGGGGGAGTTCCGGGTCGAGTCCTACATTCGGAAATATATTTCTAAATTTTAACAATATTTTTATTGTATTTTGAAAGTTACATTTATGTTTATTATTTACAAACATCGACTGATATAGGGATAGGCGCAGTGAGTGTACATACATCGACTGATTTAGGGATAGGTGCAGTAAATGTACATACCACTGATTCAGGGATAGGCACAGTGAGTGTACATACATTCACTGATTTAGGGATAGGTGCAGTAAGTGTGGATACATCCACTGATTTAGGGATAGGCACAGTGAGTGTACATACATCAACTAAGGGTTTTGGTTGGGCATGCATTCTATAAAAGAAATTTAAAAAAAATCAACCAATTTAAGAAAAAAAATCAAAGCGACGGTATCGTTACGCGAGCAACAGCGATTTTAATATTGGAACAATTTTAAAGAATATCGATTTTTAAAAAATCGAGAATGTATAACTTTTAAGGTATTTTATAATTCATTTTTATTTCAGGTTTTTTTTAAACAGTCTTACCAGTAGATTGACATGAAATATAAATTTGACATGAAATATAATTTGTTTGTAACGAGTTAAATAAAAGCTCTTTAAAAAAAAAAAAGTGAAAAAAAGTGAAAAAAAAAAGGCAAAATACACTGATGTACAAATTAGAGATATGTTAGAAATTCATGAAAACACATTATTAAAAATTTTCAATGGCAAATTTGATAAAATGGAACATAAAATAATTAGCATGCAAGAAGAAAATAGTAGGGGGGACCGGGGCTAGTTGACTCGGTTTTTACTCAATGAGCTCTGTAGTCCTAACGGAACATTTTTTTGAAAATATAAAAGTGTAGTTTCGAAGAGTATGAATTTGGGTAACTTATAAAAGTTGCATTCATTTACAAAAAAAATATTTTGGGGCCTTTCTGGGCCCTCAAAAAGAAAAAAAAAACTGCGCCAACTTACCCCACCTTGGGGTAAGTTGCTTATACTCAAGGGGTAAGTTGACTCGCAATAATAAAAGCTAAAGTTAAAGGTCCTATTTAAGTGTATTCCAATAATATTTTAAACCCCCGCCCCTTTTTTTTAAAGGAATCATAGCTGAAATATACTTTTATCAATATCATCAAACTTTTGGATCAAGTCATTGTAACATTTTAAGCAATAGAAAGTAAATATAATTAAAAAATACAGTGACAAAACAAAAGTGTTCCCAATTTATGGTTATACAATAAGAATTAAAACTTATATTGTTTTATTACATGAATATTTTTAACTAATGGAGTTTCAAATTGGCTAGCAACAATTATTGCAAATGAAAAACAAAGATTTTCCGATTATACATGACTCGTGAGCCCAAAGGTGACATTGGGTGCATTGAACCCAAACTTCCTCTGGTTTACTTTTAGAAAACATTCCAACACAAACCAAACAAAAACACTCCTCTTCAACAGAGCTATTTGGACAATTCAAACTTTTCTCCATTAAGTGTAAACTTTCTTTACTATTTGATCTTTTACTCATCTTATTATTATCTTCATTTAACTTTTTTGCTTGTTTTCTCTCTTCAATTGTTAACTTTTTCTTTTTAGCTGATTCTTTCTCTATTTTCAAAACATCCATATTTAGTGAACCTGTTAAAATTGATGTGGTTCTACTTCTTTTATTAGCCCTAACTCTTTTTCTTGGCTCAGCTTTTTTAAATGGTCTTAAATCTTCAGGTGATAGAACTACAGTTTACTCTGTAGACGTACTGTGTACATCACTACTACTTGAGTATGAAATATCTTGACGTGGTTCTATATCTTTTGAGCAACCAGCATTTAACATGTCATTCTCAGATATTGTAAAGTCAACATCCGTTACATTACTTATATTTAGTGCTGTACTTTCCACAGCACAGTCTTGTTTCGGAGGTGGTCTATCTGTGGTATAGGCTGGCATAAAATCGTGTTCACCAAAAATGTTAACATTTAGTGGGTAAATTCCTGTTTTTGCAAAACCAGCCTTGATATTATTAGGGGTACATGCTAATCGAAATGAGTTACCCACAATACCTAGTATACTGTAAATAGACATTGTGGAACCAGGGTGCTTTGTCATCCACGCATCGCAAGCTGTGTTTGTGTATTTTTTAAAAGGTCCAAATACACTTCGATCTAGAGG